GAATATTAAGATTTCAAAAGCCATTTTGTTTTCCCTCTGAGCACAGTCATCCTTCTTGCATTTCTCTCAGCCTGAACAATGAAAATTAATTAAGCAAGTTGTTGCTTCTGTTTGCATCCAGCTTCAACATGAGGTTCTCAGGAGCCAGCAGAACATTTCAATACTTGATTAAAAGACATTGCAAGAATGTGGGGGTTGGGGGGACAACCAATATTGTTTAAACATATCTGTTGACATTGTAATTACCAAAAACCAGGGAAGTGTTACTATTGGCTTTATGCTTTGTAACAATTTGGGGTCAAATTTGAACTAAGAGTGTTCTTTTAAATTGGGCTTGAGGGATGATTAGCCAGAAGCTTAAAGATCTGAGTCCATTATTATTTCCATAATTCTAGCTCTGGTACATATATGAGTCCCATTACTGTAATGTCTGAATTCTTCACACTAGGGAATTTAGTTCTCCTCTTGTGAGGTACAGAGGAGCTATTATTATTATAATTCACCCCTATGCAGAGGGCAGAGCACAACACCCCTGCACCACTTACGCACTATGACTCCTTTGCAGTGCTGGCTGGCCACACTGGGTGTGCTTGCCAGTGATTTAGTAGGCTGAACATCTGAAGGACTATAGAACTTGTCTGTGAAACAAGGGAGCTTTTCTCTAAGCAGTAGGTGACGGGGGAGTTAAGAATCACCAGGAGGCTCAGGGAAATTAATTTATCCTTTAAATTAAAGAAATGATAAATAAATAAATAAATAATAGATAAATAGGCAGCTTTGAAACTACAGCTCCAGGACCTGGGTCAGAAGTTCAATAAACTGATTCAACCTCAATCAGTGAAGTCTGATACTACATCCATCCAGGTTTATCTTAAACTGGTTTTGGCCATTTTGAAAATGGATTATGTGCGCTGAACTTCTGTTGTGTTACAGGTTTGAACCGGTTTCCAATCACTTCTATCGGTTAACGTACAGTTTCTGTCCCTGGCCCAGGTGGTCAGTGCTAAAGAGGCTTTGTGCTGACTCTTAGTGAAGTGGTAAGTGTCTAGCCAAAAGCTGGCCCTTATGTGAGGAAGGATCCAGTGCATCCCTCAAAAAGCCTCTCTCTCTATCCTAGCACTGCTATACATCAATGGCCAAGAACCCGTGTTCTATCACCCGGCATCACAAACTGGGTTAATTATGCAACAAATACAGGGTTAGGAATCCTCCAGTCTTTGGAGTAGAGCTGGGGTCTGGATTTCAGTCTGTCTTTAACACAGATACATACAGTTCACGGGGGCTTAACCTCAAGGTGTCATCTGCATGGCACCCAAGGTTCCAGCACTCAGAAGAGTGAGGGACTGACTCAGCCTTGTTTCCAGACAGCCTAGGTTGTAGCAATTGTTCTACAGTCTAGTGGGTGCAAAGGGGCAGTGGGGCAGGTATGAGTGTCCTCCCTGTGGGGAATACCTCTAGTACAAGCAAGTCAGCATGATAAGTACAGTGAATTTCCCCAACTCCTTGCTGCCTCCACAAAGAACAGGGAGCATATGAAGTTAATGTGGGCTGGAGGAGGAAATGCTGGACTGTGAGCAAGAAGAGGCATGTCAGGGGCACATTAGCACAATGATATTGTACCTGCAATGGTCCTTAGAGACCAGTGAAACAAAAGCATAGGTCAGATTGGTCACTTAATAAGCTGCTTCCCTTTGGTCTCTTATTGTACTGGGACAACAGTGGAAAGGATTTTCTTCTGATGAAAGGTAATTTCATCATAAACGCACCCATATGCCCAGAAGATATTCCCTTCTAGCCTGTTCTCTATGCAGATCCTTTTCCATGCAGCAACACAATTAAAGAACCATGAGGAACAATTGAAAGAAGCTTGTCTGAGATGAGCTGGGGTAAAAAAAATACAGAGAAACCTATTTGTGAAATAGCACATTATACCACAGCCTAGGGCTCTAGAAGCCCTGCCAAAGCCCATTGTTTGCAATTATTTTCAAATTTCTTGCTAAGTAAAATTATTATTTACGCTATATTGTTCTGCAAATGCCTACAACAGCAGATGTTTTCAGACTGTAAATCCCATGTTACCAAGCATGAGAAGGAGTTGCAGGGGATAGAGAGGCTCTGTGACCTCTATGTTTGCGGAGCGCACACTGCTTCTAGTGAAATTCATGGTTATGCAGTAACTACGCACTGCCTGAGTGCCTGTTAACTGAAAACAAATTACAATCTATGGCCTCTAGAAAACTTGATTAAAAGGGAATTCTGTTATAATGCTGCATTGTTATACAAAAGTTTCAGAATGCTTCAATGTTTCAAATGACTGGGGTAGGTCAAATCTGTTCTCTTTCCCTAAAGTGTAAACCAGGAGTAGGCAACGTTTTTTGGCCGGACTGCTGAAAAAACCACAATGTCTACCTTGGAAGTTGCCAGAGTGCTGGCATGTCAGAAAAACAAAATGAGGGTGGGGAGGTACATGGCAGGACGCACTGCATATTAGTATACTTAATAATTATAAATGTTGCCTTTGTCATTGTGTATTCCTTTTTTGTTGAGCATGTTGTAATGAGAGAGAGAGAAAAAACACAAATAAGAGAAAGAGGAGAGAGAGAAAGCAAAAGGAGAGCAGAGAGAGAACCAGACACACGCACACAGAGAACCACATGCACAAACAGAGAGAACCAGAACACACCCAGAACAGACACATGCACACAAACATCCAGAACCAGACACGTGTGTGCACACAGACACACAGAACTAGACAGAGGCAGACAAACACACAGAACCAGATGCGTGGGTGCATGGAGCCGGGCTCCTGGGCCACTGGACAAAGTCCGGCCCAACAATGCCCCGGTCCCGCCTGAGCCCCTGTGCTTCCTTGGGGAGCCAGCCCCCGGGCTGCAGCACAGCTGGCGGAGGCCTTGGCCTGGTGCCTGCCCATCAGCCCAACCACCTACCCACGCCGCACAGCTAAGCCCACAAAGGTGCTGCGCTCCTGGCAAGGGGCAGGGCCAGCCTCATCCTAGGGGCTGGGCTCCGAGTGGGTAGGAGTCAGGCGGGCTCAGCTGCAGAGCCTGGGCCACCTGCAGCTAGGAGACTGCAAACAGCTGCTCCGGGCTCCAGCATCAGCTCTGTACCAGTGGGTGCACGCGTGCCTCGGAGCAGACGGTGGGGATAGGGCCTGAGGCAGCACAGCCCTTCTGCTGTCCGCTCTGGGGTGCACGTGCAGTCACCGCCAGCATGGAGCTGATGACGGGGCTGTAGAGCTTGCTGCAGCTGCCCAGAGGCCAGGCTGGCTACAAACAGCTGCACCGGGCTCCAGAACCCAGTCATCAGCTCTGTGCCAGCAGCGGGGGAGAGGCCAGGGTTGCGCTGCCTCAGGTCCCTCACCCACTGTCTGCTCCAAGGTGCACATGCACCCGCCAGTATGGAGCTAATGCCGGAGCAGATGTTTGCAGCCTCCTGGCTGCAACCGGCCCAGGCTCTGGGTAGCTGCTGCTAACCACAGAGCCCAGTTTGCTTGCAGCAGGGCTTGTAGCTGCCCAGCTGCCTGCTGGGAGCAGCCTGGGCTTCGTGGCTGGCAGCAGCTGCCTATAGCCCAGGCTGGCGGTGGTGTGCCTTGCAAAATGGTCTTGCGTGCCGTGCTCAGCACACGTGCCTGGAGTTGCTGACCCCTGGTATAAACTCTACTCAATTGAATGGAGTCACTCCTGAATCACAGGAGTAAATCAATGGTTCACAACATTTTTAGACTTGAGACACGTCTCAGAAAATGCCAGTTCATAGTTTTGACCTGGTTTTTTACTACAGAAAAATAACAGAGTAGGTCTTCTGTTGCAAAGGACTCAGAAAGACCACAGTAGGTCAGAAGGATTTTAATGCTATGAATTCATAGGAACTCATTCTTATTTGAAATCTCTGGCTTTATCTTGTGAATCATGTTTGCACAGCACATCTAACACTGATAACACTGTGTGGCACCCTGCAGGACTGTGGTTGAGCATCATGGGGGTAAACGAACAAGATGGGGATTTTCGTGAACTTTCACTAAAACCTAACACATGTGACAAACACAACTTCACGATAAACCAGTTCCACAATATTTCAACACAGCTACAGATTAAGATAGATTTGTAAGGAAATCACAGCCCTCTGGTTTATAGTGTGGAATGTTTCACTGTGACACATCCTAAAATTCATACAGTTCATTGAGGATATGAATCCCGTTCTTGTACTTTAATACTTGCAATTACAAAACTCATCAGAAATGTATTAATTTGATTGCACAATGCACCTGGTGAAAGAACAGCAGCATCAGCAAGGTAGAAAACTGTATAGCTGGGATAACCTCGCTGCCCACATTAATGATAATAATAATGGAGGCATTAATACTAATTACCATGCTTTGTGAATGGCTTTAAAAAATACATTCAGCTCAATACATTAAGCAGAAGCCTCTGCCAGCATACTGCCCCTGAGTGAACTCAGCTATGGTACACACTGCATTATGATGCTTACTCACTCAAATTACATGTATGTTAACTATTGCTATTTCCTCCCTGCCAGAAGGTACACTGCACATGGCAGAATATGAAGCCACATTCTACCAACATTTCCATATTTCATGGCTATGTTTTCTCTATTTTCTTTCCCTCTCTCTCACATGAAAACGTACTTGCATCCTGGTGATGTGTGTACCACAATGAGACTTTCCACAAATTAAAAAGCATTCTCCCTGCATTTCCCAAGCATCACTTGTCTTCATGCCAGCTACAGAGCCCAGGAGGAAGGCACAATGCATTCTCCCTCCCTCTCTGATAGCTGAGAGTTAACGTAGTAGAATTATACTACTGATTTTGCTATGCAGGTAGGCCTTGGCCTACATATCGTTATGTCTTAATTCCCAAAATACTTCAGTGCTCCGGGCTGAATCCTGTTGCCACTACAGTCAATGGGTGCCTTACAATCAACTCCTATGGCAGTAAGATTAGCTCTTTTCTTCGCTGGACTCCATCGTTTCTATTCCATGTAAGAATATTCTCCTCTTGTGGGTGGAAGAAATAAAAGTCTCTCATGAATCACCAATTCATCAAGGAAAATGAATAGGGGGAAAATGCAGTCATCACTTCGCTACATAAAGCATGCAGTAATTATTTGGAAATAGCCCCAAAGTTATTACTTCAAAATCAACGACTCATAGTAAATGAGACACCTTATAAAAACTTATGGTAAGAAGGTGTGTATACGTTTAGCATTGTTCAGTAACGACACTGAATTTTTCATATTGTTGCTTACCAGAGCTCCTACGAGTAACAGTCCTAAAGAAATTAAAGATAGCAGGAAATATGACATCACAGAACTCCCATCTCTTGTCAGATCCTGTGAAACAGTAGAGATGACAATAACTGACACTGCATTTTTAAAGGATGTGATAGAACAGTAAGTGTGAGTGACTGCACATATTGTTCTGCTAATCATTTTGTATTAATTACTGGATTTCCCATATAAACTAATCATGCTTTCCTTTTGTCCGCAGAGATGGCTTTCAAACCATCTGGATCTGAAATCCAAAACCAGATCTATCCAAAACCAGATCTAGCTAGGTTTTGCTATCATGGGTCCCTTCTGAAATGCTGGCTCCTCTTCCTCAACCCATGAGTTCTTGAAATCCAGAACTGGATCCACATCTTGATTTTGCAGCTTGTGCCCGTTTTTCATTTACACAAGTGGTATAATTCTATCCCTCTGAAGAGGGTATAAGTAGTACATAGGTACATAGAACTTGTGCTATCTCCTCTGCATAGGGATAAAGTTCACCCAAAGAGAATGGCTTTAATTTTACTCACTTGACTGAGTATTCTTAATAAATGGCATTTTCCTTGGCATTGTGCAAATGGCACAAATATTTCCCATTACTGTATTTCTTTAGCACAAACTCTATGATCCAGAAACCTTGACTTTTGTTTTTATTGTTGCTGTTGTTTTATGCAATACAGGGAATGTCATGACTGTTTGCAGCAACCTGAGTGAAAGTCATGCTGACGTACCCCTCATGTCCTACTGGGGGTTACACATGGTTCACACATGGCCACTGTGCTGGCCCTTTATACAAGGAGTGACTTTTACTCCATCTGATAGTCAAGAATGTGAGCAAAATCCTATTAACTAAATGAGGCAAGGAATATGCTCTGGAATTAGCTCAAATAACCATCTGAAGACAAATATAGTACTCTAATAAGTAATAATCAATTACGTACATGAACATCTGTGTACATGCAGATATACAAGGCCAGAACCTGTTCTATTTTTGGCCAGGTCCTGTTCCATGTATTAGGCCCTTAAATGGACTTAGAAGTCTAAATGTAATCCTGTTCCATCCTCCCTGAAAAGCCATCAATACGTCTATATTTGTTAAGTGCTTTCTTCTGAACCTTAAGACTAAGACTACACAAAGCAGCAAGACCTGCTCCCCTTTTGTGCTAAGGAGTTTTCAATCACTTCAGCAGCGTGGAATAGGATTGCACTTAGATATCTAAATCCATGTAGGCTCCTAAATGGTAGAATAGCTGTCTAAGTGTCTATTCCATCCTGCCCAACTCACTGAAAAACTTCTAATGCTGATGGGTCGTCCTCCACACTGCTTTCTGTGATTTAGCTTTATGGCTAAAATGAAGGCATGTTACAAAAGCAGATATTTTAATGTTTTTGCAGACTTAAGGAGGGTGGAATAGAATGTCACATGAACACCTATAAGTGCCCTGTTGCTGCCTGACAGGTGGGATAGGATCTGACTTATGGTTTCATTGTTTTTCATTCTAATTATCTCCTTCCTCCATGCTGAGCCAGCATGAAGCTTGCTTTTATTCAAATACCCCTAAGTTTGGACATTTCCATGAGAGATGATCCATTTGTGATTTGACCCATAGCAACAAAATGCAGATAATGTGAGTACCTCCCACTGTATGAGGGGCTTTGAGTATGCGTAATGAATCCAACTGAGAAAAGTCCAATAAGACATACTTGTTGATAATAAATAAAAGGAGGGGTAATGTACATTGCTTAGCAAACCCAGAAAGCAGTCTCTAAGTGTACTTTAACCACATGATGCAGAGAGACCAATTCCCTATACGTACTGCCCACCTACCCCCAGAGAGGCTATGTGCCATGAGTCCAAACTCCCACCTGATAAACATCCATGACCTGATTTTTAAAGGATCTGGTACCCAAAGCCCTCATTTAACTAATGCTCTATTTATTTCTTTAAAAAAATTACACCAGTAGAATTACAACTATAACTCATCACATTAAGTCACACTGGTAGAAAGTCCATATTACATTGGTAAAATACATTGGGGTTTTCATACTTGAGTAGCTTTATACCAGTGCAATTTAAAAAAAAATACAGACACAGTCAGAAACGACTTTAAAAAAAGAAAATCAGGAAGAGGCGAGTCTTTTTATGGGTGACGGCTACAGCATCGCTCTAACACTACTTAAAAAAATCAGGACATTTACATTTTGGTTATGATGAGGCTACTGATTTAAAGCACATTTGTAGTGAAACTACAAGTCAGTTATACCCACGATCTCCAGAGTGTTGCCATGGATATAAACAAGGCCAGAGTTTGGCCCACTTCTGAAACTATTCTGGTGACCCTTATGTGGTCTCCTCAGCTTCTGAAGAATCTAAGCTTTTTAATTGCCATCATACATTGAGTTCTGGCTTGTCCCTGTGAAGTAAATCTTATGGATTTGATTCTCTACTGCCTTGCTTCTTGTGCTGTCATTAACACTTTTCAAATAGGTATAAAAACTCAATCACACTGATTTCATCACTGAATCATAGAAAACTAAGATGGATTTTTAAAGATTAATTCTTTATGTATTTGTTTCCAGAGAAGTTTTTTTCCATTCCCCAGTAGATGCATAGCAGAGAATTAACAACATGCTATCTAGTATGTGTTTTATACATTTCATCCAAGAAAATATCAAAAAATATTCTTGAAGGCTACTGACCTTAGCCTTCTACTTAATAGAGAGGAATAAGTGAACTTACCCCCCCTGGATTTGACATGAATTGTCCAAATGGCATAAGCAAGTTCGACATTAGGTCAAAGGCGTTCTGAGCTGTTGGGAATGTCCTGTAACCGTTGTACCATAACATCATGCAGAGAAGCTGTGCAATCAATCAGATAATACATAATGAGCATTCCTCAGTAGACAAACATTCATTTTCATTTCAAGACTGCATAATTAACTAATTTAGTTCTCATTGCTTTTATGCTGATCATCATTTTCCCTTTAAGAAGTCAGGTATTTTCTATGCTGCAGCTTAACTAGGATACAAAGACAGAGGCCAGATTCTTAGCTGATGTAAATCAGTCTAGCACCACTGAGTTAAATGGAGTCTTACTAATTTACATCAGCAGAGGGTCTGCCCCAGAGAATCTAAAAAAGGCAACACTGTAAGGGATACCCTTTGGTTTCTGACCCTTTCATGGGGGTTATTAATGTACATATCATGCTGCCACTCTTGCAAACAGCTATATCCATCCAGTGGAGCACATACCAAACAAAAAGACATACATGCATGTGTATGGACACAAAAAACATTCCGTTTGACACACTCAGGGATGACACACGCAACAAGAGTGACACACACTGACAAAAAGCAAGTAAATTAAGAATATTAAAAGCTGTCTGATCTACATGGGCTTTCCTTCGCCACTAAGAAGAGCAAACATTATAATTCCTGGCCACACACCACACATCAGAACTTTAACTCTACCCCATCATCCCTACTCCACACTCCATAATCAGAATACTTTCTCCAGTACTACCCATTGTGATATCTGCTACAGCAATTGGTTGGCTGGTAAAGGGGCATTTGCAGAAGAGCAGTTAAAGGGAAGGGTGCTTAGAAAGCTGGCATAGCCACAGGTCCAGTTGCAGTTGCAAAGGGTGGTTTGCAATGTATGGCAGTTGTAGAAATGACAAGAATACCACTGATTTGAACACAGCTATGCCAATATACACCAGCTGGGGTGCTGGCCCTCACAATGCACGGCTGGGAAAAATCCCAGCAACAAGGAAGTATTTAGAAATGAGGGTTTCACCTCTGAGCAAGCTACAAAGCACCTTACCAATATCTGTGAGAGGGCGAACAAGCACACGTTCCCTCCAGATTTGAGTGCAGCCCACCAGGCAGCCCACCCAGGCTGCGGGGTTCTCTGTGAGGCTTTTCGGGATTGTTCCTTTCCACTCTGCTGTCCTTGCGGTCCTTCAGTTTCATCCATTGACTCCATCGCTGCTGGCTTGGAAAGACCTTCAAATGCAAATGACAAGCACAGGGAATGAATAGCAGTGGAACCCTGCAGCCGTTGCGGAGACTGCGAGGACTATTATTTTTGCAAAGAGGTTGGTCGCCTCTCAGTTCTGCATCAGTAAGTGCAGCTCGAGATTCGAGCGTCACACTCTATTAGTGCGGCAGTATTCACCTACCTTCGTCAGAAAAAGGACGTGTGGGAGGATAAATTATTTTCCCTTTATTTCTGGAGGTAGAGAACCTTGGCTTTGTTGTTAATAAATTCTCATTTACATTGCTGCATCTTTTTGTTGTATTTTCTTCTTCTTCTTTTATAAAAAAGGAGCAGTTACTGAGTTCTACCGCTGACTCTGCCACTCACAGGGTCTGTGACGTTAGGCAAGTCACTTCATCTCTCTCTCTCTGCCTTTGTTTCTTTTCTTTCCTCTTTGCCTGCCTTCTCTACATAGACTGTAAGCTCTCAAGGCAGTCTCTTTGGATCCGGAGGCACAAATCTTGGTTGGGGTCTCCCAACTCATAAACCACAAGTAGATGATAATAATAATAATAATAATAATAATAATAATAATAGCAGCCTGTTTATGTCAAGAACTTTTGGCCTGGATTCTGCTCTCAGTACTGCTTAATGTTGCTGTAGCACCTTTAACTTCAACGGAGCTAAACTAATTTATGCCACTATCAGAGTGACTAGCCCTATATTAATAGCATTTTTCACCTACTTTATATAGGTGTAAATGAATTCACAAGCTGTGAAGCAGTGGAAAAATCAGGCCTATTCAGTGAAATTACTCCTAATTTATACTGCTGAGAAGAGATTCTCTGAGACTGCCCACGAACAAGACCAGCCTCTTACACCTGTCATACAACCATAAACATACACACAGGATAAAGGCCTCAGAAGAGCTATCATTGTGGCTTGCTTTTATAAGATTTAAACAGAACATTTATTTTACTATTTATTTTTCTAATGGTCCTGGAATTGTCACCCTGGGTCCAATCCTCAGTGGTCACTAACTGGCCATGGCTCTACCAAGGTAGACAGAACAGTGTATTTATACCAGCTAAAGATGTGACCTAAAATTCAGCATAAGACTTTATAGAAGCAGCCTGTCTCCCTTCTCTAAATAAAGTAATGGAAGGATAGGCAGAAGCAGGAGTTCTTATTCCCATTTCTCTGCTTGTTCTTCTCCTCCTACACAAGGGAAGGCAGGGTGGAGCTCTTATGCTGTCCCTGCTTGAGAGAACAAGGTGTTTGGGTAGTGCTTCCAGCTTCCTACCAGGGTCTCAGCTTTCCTGCCCGAGCACAGATTTCATTTGGGAATGAGGCTGCTAGGCCCCTGTACAGGGCACTCAGCATCTTCAATTGAAAGGCTGGGTGGAATCATTTGAAATGTACTTATCACCTACTTCTGGAGTGGCTCAGCCTTTCAGGGTTACTATTTTTCAAATGAGTTCTCAATAAATCTCCAGTCAATTTGTTCCATTTATGAATATTACTATAAATGATGACAGAGAAAGGGAATTGCCTTGGCCAGAGGGCAGAGATGCTGTACTATAATTGACTCAGAACTACACAGGTTTTTATAAATCAGCTGTGCATTTCCATGAGATCTGATTGGTCATTGGCATCTCTTTTGCATATTCACTGTGCAATTATTTCTCAAGAAGTGCACAGCATGCACACACACACACACACACACAGGCACACATTGATTCTAGTTGGCTGACTGCCATTATTAGCCCACCATGATTCAGTCCCATTGTTTTCATAATCACTATTTCATTTTATAATAAAGAAACACCAATAAAACATGTAATATTACCACACTGACCAAGTAAAAGCTTGTGTATCTCGATTCAATCTTTGCAGGTTAGTCTAAGCTGTGTAGACTGAACTGATAAGCAAGTGAACAGACATTGATGCTGGAAATGTAGCCACATGCCTGCAGTGGCCCAACCCAGAAGTCTCCCTGTTTGGCTGGAGCAGGCACCTTGGGCCAAGGCCAAGGCTAGTCCACCCACTATTTTGAAAACAGTTTATGTGCACTGAATCTCTGTTGTGTTACAGATTTGAACCAGTTTCTGATCACTTATACTGGTTGATGTGCAGTTTCTGTCCCTAGCCAAGATTTATGGAATACAGTTGGTAGGATCATAGGAATTTGACCCCTAACACTATATATCCTCCAGGCTTCCAGTCAGTATCCCACAAGCAACTGTAAAAATCACCAGGAATGTCCAGAGCCAAGAAGTTGTGTTTGCTCCCCAGATACTTACCCAAGTGCAATAGCCTTGCACTGATACAGCTCTGTGCAGTGTGGACACAAGATTCAAAACTGTAATTGCTAGTAGTGATGCTTATAGTGAAGGTTGTCTAAATGCTTACACTATAAGTAGGGTGACCATACGTCCCAGAGTGGCTGGGACAGTACCAGATTTCTCAGGCCACCCTAGCATCCTGGCCAGTTGGTATAAATTGAAGCAAAAGTCCTGGATTTGGCTGCTGCAGGCAGAGGCTGTGGTTGCCTGCAGTGCCCAGAATGGCTCCTGCTGAGCACTGGCTGGAGGCAGGGGAGTGGGCTGGGATGGCTGTCCGCTGCAGGTAGCGTCATGCCCTGCAGCTATGGCCGATGCCGATGCCGATGCTCAGGCTGTGCGTGGCGGTCTTGGGTGCCTGCTGGTGGCAGGGGGGAGGGGCTGCTCCCAGCCAGATCCAGGGACTGTGCATGGGAGATGAAGGTCAGCCACAGGCCCCTGCATTGTCCCGCCCCACCATCAGGGTTCCTGGGAGGTGTGGGGTCAGGGGTGTGTGTGTGCATGTGTGCGCCTGGGATTGGGGTGTATGTGCGTGTGTGTGTGTGCATGCATAAGTGGGGTTGGGGATGTGCGTGCACTGGCCCCTCTGTCTCAGATTCCCTTACCCCATCCCAGATCCTCTTAACAATAATATGGTCGCCCTAAATATATGTTCCTCTTTTCAGCTGTGCCATCCTTTAGTAGTTTAAGCTGAAATTTCCCATGCTTGCAATCTACTTCAGGCTGTAAAACACTACAGCCATTTTCAAGAACAAGCTTAGAGAACAAGGACGTGCACTGGCCCCTCTGTCTCAGATTCCCTTACCCCATCCCAGATCCTCTTAACAATAATATGGTCGCCCTAAATATATGTTCCTCTTTTCAGCTGTGCCATCCTTTAGTAGTTTAAGCTGAAATTTCCCATGCTTGCAATCTACTTCAGGCTGTAAAACACTACAGCCATTTTCAAGAACAAGCTTAGAGAACAAGGAGGCTCCATCGACAGGAATGTGACATTTAGAAGGGTAGAAATTATAAAGTCAGAAAGGTGACTTTGCTATCTTGGTAAAAATGCATTCAGATTTGACTGAATTATAAGTCTTGGCTTTCCTTCTGGATATGGACCATGTCAGTTTATTAAGGCTTGATCCTAAAATCTCCAAACATTTGTCTGCACTGACTATGTTCTAAAGATTCTTAATCTCTCTTAACCTGCACTGAGCAATGCACCTAGATCCTTCCTACAGCTCAGTTGCACTGACCACACTTTTAAGCCCCAGTGAGCTGCCTTTATGTTGGGCATTGAGCTAGATCTCCATACATAACACAGCTAAGGCAACAGTGATTACCTTGGGCCTAACTTTGGATGTGCATGCTGAGCTAGAAGCCAAGGGTTCACAAATTTCAGAATCAGCAAGTATCATTTTTTTATTTTGTAGAAGGAATAGCTGAGAGGTTGCACAAGGTCACTTCTTGCAAAATGGAAATGGAACGCTGACAGACCTGAGTTTAATCCACTCAGCTACACTGCCTTTCAGAATTAATGTGTAAAAGTTACATGCTTGACTCTGCCATCTCAAACCAAAGGAGTATATTCCTGTCTACAGTCAGGAATCCTGCTTTTAGCTGTTTTAACCTCATGTGATAGAGGTCTAAAAGTCCCAGATTTAATCTTTGTTGATAACCTATGTGTAGAGCCAATATAGTTCCAGATGGTAGCCATTTATATTTTCCACCTTGCTATCTAAAAACCTAGGAAGTTACATATGAAAAGTATGTACATATTTTAGTAATGGGTGTCTATACACATTAGAATGGGTTGGAATGAGTCTGCTCTGTGTTCTAATTAGATATATACTCTTCATTGCTGCAGAGTCACATGTATAAGCCCCCAGCGGTTTAAAAATGGTCACTGGGATACTTTAACTAAAGCTGGTCGAATGGGTTTTAGTTAAAGTGTCCTGTGGTCATTTTTAAACTTGCAGGGGCTTAATACATGTGACGCTGAGGTGATTTAATTAGAATGGCTCACTAGGAACCACACTCAGTAAAATTACCCCCTCCCCATACCCCAGAGCATGTGTATAGGCACTCAATATCAAGAATTCAAATGCTATAGAATGCCATAATTAAGATCAACCACATAACCTTATTTGTCCATGACCTGGCATTGTGCATGTGAATTATGGTTTATGCCTTTTCTGTACAAAGGACTTGCACCAATTTAAAACACTTCAGTGCATACAAACTAATATAAACCAGCTTTCAACTTATGAAAGAGTGCCCTCTCAAAGTTCTGTACTGATGGAAATAAATCAGTTCTAAAGCATATCTTGAATTAAACTGCTGTCAATGTGCAGCACGTGCGTGACAATTATTAATTAAATGGTTATTATGATTTATTAAAAGGTCCTTGCCTTATCCAGTGAAGAGGCTGGATAGTAAATGAGACAGAGCTGTAAAGTTAGAAAAGGTGTTCTCATGCAGTTATTCCAGTGGACAGGGACTCAGGAAAGCTGGATTTCATTCCAAGCTCTGGAAAAGACTTCCTGTGTAATGACAAGCAAGGCTATTATTATTATGTATGCATAGAAGGGAAATGAATTAAAGTTGCATGGGCAGTCTAAATTCTGGCCTATTTTAATTACTGAATGCTTGATTTTGAGGCCATAACATTCTTTTACCATAGCTGTTTGTATTCAACGTTTGTATAAGATGCTTCACCAAAACTTATTATGTCAGCTATCATCCTGAATTCTGGGTCACAGATTCTGGATCACATACCATAAGGTACTTCTTCACTACCATATGATTATGCTCACTACCAAACTTCTTTGGGTTAAAAATATTTTTTAAGTCACTAATACCATTTATGAGCTCTTTAATACTGGTAGCAGATAGTTTGCTTGAAATGGCAAAATAAGCCAAGTATTTTCTATTGCCTCAATCCAAACTACCATCCTTTCAGTTTAGAAAAAAAAGAAATTGCCAGATAGGATCAGACCAATGGCCCATCTAGTCCAGCATCCTGCCTAAAACTGGCTACCAGCAAAAGAAGCTGCAGA